AATAAATTAAGCTTTGTCATAGGTATGTACGTATAGGAAAAAACATAGTGTATACAGGGTTTGGTACTGTCCAAAGCTTCAGGCATGCTCTAGAGGTCTTGGAACATATCCCCTGAGGATAAGGGGAGACTAGTGTATTTAAATTCTGGTTAACCAAATAAATTGTATATATATGTATTTATTTATTGAGGACCATCATCATAAACTTTGAAAAAGAAGCTATAGGAAATTATACACTAACATCTTCCTCTCAACACAAAGAGAAATGCAATAGTGAATAAGCTAGGTATATCTAATACCAGCTGAATTCCAAAGCCAAAAGTCACTCAATAATAATTGTGAAAAATTATGTAGATATTAGCAATAGAAGTACATTTATATCAGTCTATAAAAATATCATGAATAACTACTATTTTATTGATTTTCTTTGTAAAAGACTCTATAAGAGCTTAAAAATATTAGTTTTTGATCCCTAAGCCAAGTCTATGAGATAGATGTTAATATCCCCATCCCATAGCTGTACAAATAAATCTCTGTTAAGATGTGGCTCTTGGGGCTGGCTGGTTGTCTCAGCTAGTTACAGCACAGTTCTGATACCAGCACGGTCCAGGGCTCAATCTCTGTACCAGCAGCTGCCAAAAAAAAAGATGTGGCTCTTCTTTGTCAGGGGCCACTCCCACATTCTGTTGGATCTGTTAGCTCTGGGTTTTTAGACAAATGTACTGTCTTGTGAGTCTCTCATGGTGTATTGTAGCTTTGAGAGCTGTTTCCAGGTTGCCTGGTTGAGCCCCAGGCCTTGGCTTGGCAGTGTTTCTCACGTGCTCTCCACCAGTTTCCTCCTGGATTTCAGTGCCATCCTGCCCACTGTGCTCGGTCGTGTTTTGGTCTAGTGTCCACCTGGCACCCATCTGAATCTCCAGTGAAAGCCCGCTGTCTGCATGGGCCACACTCAGGAGACACCTGACAAAACCAAGGTCGGAGTACTTCTGGGCTCAGACCCTATCTCTGCAGCCAGCTGCTCACCCCCCAGACCTTCAGCTGATGACCTCCGGGGTCAGAGGCCACCTGCGGCTCTAGAAGACAGTCTCCTTTGTCTCCAAGTGATTGATTTAGGCAAACACATGGCCGGTTTGCTTGCTCATCTTGTGCCTCCGACACCCCCAGAGAATCAGTGGGTACTCAGAGGCAAAGCTGGACACGTTATTTGGGTCTTTGGTTGATTCAGGGGATTAGGAGCTGTTTTCCCAGTTCCCTCAGTCTTCTCCCTGTGGCGGGGAGGACAGCAGTGGACAAGCTGGAACTGTAGGACACAGGTCCCTCATCCGTGTGGTCCAGCCCTAAAGCAGCCTTGGGGACTTGGATCTCACTTTGCTCAGCAGGTGCGACCTTGGGCCTCGGGCGGGGTCACACTTGCCCTTCCTTTTTCTTTGCCGGGAGGCGGGATCAGAGTGGGTACCTGGATGCAGATGGGCATCTCCTGCTGGACGCTGAGCCCCACGACCCTGGCGCACACAGAGCCTGGAGCCCACCTCCCCGGCCTCCTCCAGAGTGGCTGCCTGGGGCGGTGTGGTCCGAGCCAGGCACAGCTGAGCTGGACTTGGCCGAGAGCCCCGGGCTGTCTGGGCGTGGGGGAGGGGCGGCCAGGCTAGTCCTTCCTACGTGCCCTTTGCCCCAGTTCTTTTAATCCGCAAAACTGCGCAAGGAGCTCTTCCGCTCCCCTCCTACAGCGGGGCAGGGGCAGACGTGGAGCTGCAGGCCGGTGGACACGGGTCGCAGGCCGCGCGCACGTGTCCCCCGCCCGAGAGACACGCGAGCCGGGCCTCCGGCCGCGGCGGTCACTAAGTGCAAGTTGGAGCGGGGGTGTCCGGTTCCTAAGGGCTGCAGGGCCAGGTCGGGGCCGTGACCTTCGGGCCGCGTCCGGCTGGGCGGGGGGCGAAAACCGAGGGGGCTCTGCGCGCACCAGGCGCGGTCCCGGGTCGGCTGGGGGGGGG